TCTAAACGGAACAAGCAAGTGTGCTTGTCAGGGCTGGGGGATTTGTCACTGTCACTAAACCCTTGAGACAGAACTATGAATTTAATTTATGTACATGTGGGGTACTCATTTAAACATTATACATGAAAATCCCTGATACAGCCATATATCTTTGAACTGCATGAAAGAAACACATGGCCCTCTGGTACTGAGCTCTGTAATTAGCACATGGTAGCTAGAGGGATGCTTTATCCAAAAACCAGAAATTTAGGAAAAGAAAATTACTGTCCTTCTGAGGGTTAAATCACCAGAAAGTAGACTGGAATACAGATATGCAAAGTCACAAACATGGAAATACTCTCAGGCCAGCAAAACTTGAAAGTAACAGGATGAATATATTATTTCTCTAAAGATAGAATGTGTCAGTCAGAAAGCAGATATGTTAATTAGGCAATGAGGCAAAAAAGAACTACTTAGTGTATGTAAAAGTCGTCACGGCCTCTGTGTGTTCAGGATCCGAGAGTTTAACAGCTGGAGTTATTTCCACGTTCAGAAGGATTCCTGGTGGTGTGGAGAAGGGAGCAGGGGTTTTAGCCAATGGTTTGTTCTTAGTATTTCAAACAGGACCTTCTCCATTGTAGGATAGCTCTATCAGGCAGCATAGCCGGTGCTAGCAAGCACCCTTTTATAAAACTCTGCTTCTGAGGATTCTATGCTAAGCAAGCAAGTTTATGATGAAGCAACGGATTCTCCTACTTAGCAAAAGCTGTTGGTTCAGAGTCACCAGAGACTACGGTCCTTTGATCCTGCTGTTTCAGTTTTTCTCCTTTATGTAGTAACTTTACCTTAGAGTGCTCAGCACCTGTAGGTGCCAGGAAGAGTGTCTTGGACAAAAGAGTGGCTTTTGTCCAGAGGGCAGGTCTGTGGCTCTCCTCTTTTAATTAATTTATTTATTTGGTGATACCAGGGATCAACTCAGACCCTTTTGCTGGCCTGGCAAGCACTTATTCTACTGACCTATCTCCCTGGCTCTCCTCTTTTAATGATGAGCTTTCCCCAAATGTCTGGAGAAGGAGCACAGTGAAAGGAGAAGGCCCCAACTCTACAGCAGACTGCTTGGGTTGGATGCCCGCCTCTGCTACTCCAGCTTCGAAATGTGGGCAGCCTCCCCAACTGCTCTTCATCTTACTTTGCTTGTCAGTAAAGGTAAAAAAAAAAAAAATCGCAAAAAGATTTTTCAGAACACTGAATTAGTTAATATATGTGAAATGATTGACTGATAGCATACAATACAAAGGATAAACACAGCCTTTGCTGAACATCCCAGCGAGAGGACTCCATTCGGACACTAATGTGCTTATCTCTCATTGTACAGTAAACTAATGTGCTTATCTCTCACTGCATGGCTTGGTTTTCAAGATCTGAGTATCTCAGGAATTGGTCAGAGTATGAGAAAAATGGCTCCACGTTGAGGGATTACCAGGGAAGTTCCGCGGACTTTCGGCCCACCTGCTACTTTCTCTGCAGTGAAATCTGGATCTGCTGGAAAGGAAGGAAGGAAGCTGCGAATGCTTCCATAGGGGTAGGCAACCTAGAGCAGCAAGCTGAATCTGGCAGTGGTCTGGTTTTTGTACAGCTAGAAAGCAAAGCAAGGCATATACCTTTTGTTTTGTGACAGGGTCTCACTATCTAGTCCAGGCTGGCCCTGAACTCACTATGTAGCCCAGGCTAGCTTCAAACTCATGGTTGTCCTCCTGCCTCAGCCTCCTGAGGGCTGGGAGTTCACATGTGCACTACACCATACCTAGCTAAAATTTTTATATTTAAAGCGTTATAAAAAAAATCCAGAAGGGCTGGCCATATAGCTTAGCGGATAAAGCACCTGCTTAGGTAGAGCGCAGCAGCAAGGGTTCCATCCCCAGTGTGTCATGCCAGCCCCACCCCCGGGACACACTGAGACCGTGATTAAGACTAGGCGTGGTGGCGCGCACCTGTAATCCCAGCACTTGGGAGGCTGAAAACAGGAGAATCACTAAGAGTCTGATCTATGTACTGAGACCCTGTAGACCCTATAGACCCTGCCCTAAATTCATAAATAATAAAAAAAAAACAAACAAAAATAGAAAAATCTAAGCAAGCAAACAAATGACACAAGAGAATAAGCAGGATAACCTGTAAGTCACTTGCAAAACCAAACCATTCACTGTCCTTTTCCCAAAAAGAAAAAAAGTATGGACTCCTGTTCTCAGACCTATTTCCTTTTTACTTCCCTAACTATACCTGGACAATAAATATAACTAGTTTAGGTAAGTGGAGAGGGATACAAGGAGCAGAAAAGCCTCTCATGAAAATTCCAGCTGCTTTGAGTTCATCGATCTCTGTAGCCACAGTGCAGCTGGGAGTGAGCCCTTGCCGGGCCACCTCAGTGCCCTAGGAACAGTGTCCATGCGCGCTGACCGCACACAGCGCTGGCAGCACTGCCGGCAGTGAGGCACTGCCACCACGGGGCCAGGAAGCCCAGAGTCCCCGGACCACAGGAAGCCATGTACTAGGTTACCGTCATATCTACAGCAGTCTGCGGTCTACTGAATGTCAATGGCAGAGAACACTTATTTTAAAGATTGTAAGTACTCGAGTGATGTACACAGAGGGTGCAGGTGTCTAAGTTTTTGAACTATGATTCTTTTTTTTTTTTTTTTTTTGGTGGAACCGGGGATTGAACTCAGATCCTTGCATTTGCCAGTCAAGCGCTTATCCTACTGAGCCATCTCCCTGGCCCCTGAACTATGATTCTTGATTTAATCAACTTTCAACCAGTGAACTGCTACTGTCTCCTTGCTGGGGGCATTGCCCTGGAGCTATAATCCCAGCTGTGGGGGAGGCTGAGGCAGGAGGATCAAAATCAGTTTGGGTAACTTAGATTCTCTCTCTCTCTCTCTCTCTCTCTCTCTCTCTCTCTCTCTCTCTCTCTCAAAATGTATTTGATACAGGGTCTCATTACACAGCAGCTCAGACTCACAGTGACACTCTTGTTTCAGGAGTGCGCTACCATGGCCAGTTTTGCTCAGCTGGCCTGGAGTGGGGCTCAGTTTGGGTAATAGAGATGCTGTCTTACAAAAATAGCAAAAGGGCTAGAGATGTAGCTCAGTGGTAGAGCCTTTGTCTAATGTGTGAAGTCCTTGGTTCAATTCTCAGTACCACAGGATGGGGTAGAGAGAGAAAATAATTATATCCTTAATGTATTATACAATATGGCTTAATTTTGAATAAGATATATGCATATATATATATACACACACACATATATATACATACAGATATATATGCTGTTTTTCTTGAGATAGAGTTTCACTCTGCAGTTCAGGCTGGCTTTGAGTTTGCAGCAATCCTCATGTCTCAGCCTCCCAAGCGCTGGGATTATAGGCATGTACTATCACACCCAGCATGAATAAAATGTTTTTAGCTTACATAGATTTATTGCTCTAAAGAGTACAGAAGAGCAACATTAGCTGTAAAACATTCTAAAAGTACCTAGGACATAGCTCAGAGAAAGGAAATTAAAAAAAAAAAAAGCAAGCTTGACAGTGAAACAGAATGTTGCATGTACTCTTTCCTGAGATTATGGGCTGGTCAGATAGCTCAGCAGATTAAAGCACCTGTTCAGACAGGCTCAGAGACAGGGTTTGATTCCTGGCCTGCCTTGCTGGCCTTGCTCCCAGGGTGTGCTGAGCAACTGAGATTGGGCACGGTGGCATGAGCCTGTAATCCCAGAGCTTGGGAGGCTGAGGCAGGAGGATCACTGCGAGTTCCAGACCAGCCTGGCCTACAAAATGAGGTCCAGGCCAGCCTGAACTGCATAGAGACCCTGTCTCAAAAAAAAAAAATGGAAAATTTTATTTTGGTGAAACGATCATTAAAATAAAAGCATATTAAAATATTAAGTTAAAACTATCATATAAATAAAAATAAGTTTCCCCTGAGTCATCTTATCCCTCAGGGAAAGGAAGCAGCAACATGTGATAGCTCAGTGGACTAAGCACCTGCTTAAGCAAGTGCAGGGCTCTGGGTTCGATCCCCAGTCTCAGCCCCAGGTGGGCTGAACCATCACCAAATCTCGATGGGGTGGCACACACCTCTAATCCCAGCACTGGGGAGACTGAAAATAGGAGGATCACTAGGAGTCTGAGCTGTGTAGTGGACCCTGCACCAAATACATCTTAAAAAAAAAGAAAAAAAAAAGAAAAAGAAAAGGGAGCAATAGGCGGCTCCATTTGTCTTTTTCACCCTGCTTGCGGAGATGAGAAAGAAACAGAGATTGAGGAGACCCCTTTGGGCTGTGGTGGAGGAAGCTAAAGCTTTCTATGGAAAGCTAACCTAGTGTAACTTTAAGTTAGAATCACCAAAAGATCCTTTGAATAGGATTTCAGATCAATCTAAGTCAGCAAGCTAAAAATCTTGTCTTGATCTCATTTTTGAGTACACATCTGTAAAATGATCTAGTCCTTATCAATTTTTTGCTAGTTTTTACTGAAACTAAATTAGGCCAAGATTTAACCCTTTTCACTAATAAACACCCATCATTATGCTAGAAACAGATGTATAACCAAAGGATATAATGTAAAGACATCAGCCTTGGTTATTAGCATGCTGTTTAGTATTCATCACAATTTGTTTTAAAGAACAACAATGTGTTAACATCTTGGCCCAAAGAGCTCTGGATGTACTATCTACTGTACTTGATGCAGCTTGCTTATGCAATATTCTGACAGATACAATTAATCTTGTGAAAACGGCTGGGGTGTCGCATAATAGCAAATTATCATTGCCAAACACACATTTTTCCTGTAGTACAATTCCCTCCTAATGCTCGCAATGGTAGCAGCAGATGGAAAGAACATTAGGAGTTAATTATTTAAAGGAAGAAATTAAAAGTTATTAAGTTAATAAATCGCAGCTATGCTGCAGAGACAAGGGTTAAAACATTTCACTTGTAAGTAAGTATGAAATAAGTGAGTCTGTACCTCCAACAAATGCATCTCCAGCTCCATTGGTGTCAATAATTTCTTTCTGGTCCTGATCCAAGACAGGAAAAGCAGTGACTTCACTTTCTGCAATTAGAGCCAAAGTAAGACAGGCTGACTTCTCTTTGTTACACTCTGTGCGGAGCATGAGCTCAGCCGAGCAAGGTGTGATGCTCCTTGCACACCCACCACTCAGACAGATAGGACGCGAACTCTGTTCTCTATTAGAGCACGTGGAAGCCCACACGCAAGTCACATGCAAGCAACACTGCTTAGTGATCTTCAGCACAGATGTGCTCTGTGACTGGTGAGAGTTACACCTTCGTAGCTCACAGTTTTGGTTTGACCATAAGTGGCAGAGGTGCCTTTTTTGGACAGTACAAATGACTAGACAGAAACTATGTGCTTGTAGGGGTTGGATCACGGTCTTCAATAAAGCTTCAAGCTTGACTGTGTTCATGGCAGTGAAATCTTTTTTTTTTTTTTAATTTTATTTATTT